TCTTACAGGAGCATGAAGCTGTCAGATGGAGCAGAGTTTTTGCAAGACCTGGAGAAGTTTCCTAGAGATCTCTTATACTTAGGGCTTACAAAAATATTCCAAAATAACTTACATACTTTCTTCCTTTCTACTTCAAGGAATGTTTATAAAAACCCACCTTCTTAAATCAAGATCGTGGAAGCCATATCGTCATTAAAATAAATCCAAACAAGTAAGCTTGAGCAAATAAAACACAGGGAGAGTACCCAAACATCCCGTCTTATCCCTGCATACAGTTCTTACCATCCTGTAAAATTCATCTCTGTACTGGGAATCATCCACTTGGAAACCTTTAAAAAGACATTCTCTAAAATTAAGCACAAGTTAAAGAAAAGAAAAAAACAAATACTTACTGAGGACAGTCACTCACCAGGCCCTCTCAGTACTTTTATCTCATTTATTCCTCAAACCTCTGTGAGGTATGATTTATTACCCTCAGTGTACTGATGACAAAACTGAGACACAAGAGACTTAAAATAACCTGTCCAAGAGCACTCCACTTTAAGTCGCCATCCGGATACATTTTAGATTTGTCAACCTCTCAACCCATGTTCTTTGCCCTGTATACATTGCTATTATTAGTTATCTATTGCAAAGTTACAAATTAACCCAAAGCTTAGCCACTTAAAATAGTAAGCATTTATTATCTCAGACAGTTTTTTGGGTCCTGAACCCAGCGGCAGCTTAGCTGTATGGTTATGGCACAGGTTCTCTCATCAGGTTGCAGTCCAGATGTCCTTGGTGCTGGTCATCTGAAGGCTTGACAAAGGCGGGAAGATCTGCTTCCCAGGGAGCTCATTCACATGCCCCGCAAGTTAGTGCTGGTTATTGACAGAAGACCTCAGTTAATCACTAGGTGGACCTCTTCATAGGACTGCTTGGCTGTCTTCATGACATGGCTGATGACTTTCCCCAGAACTAGTAATCTAAGAGAAAGCAAGGTAGAATCTGCCATATCTTTTAGGAGCAAGTCTCAGATGTCATGCTTAGTCATTTTTGCTATACCTTATTGGTTACAGAGGTTGACCCTATTCAATGTGTATGAGGGGCAATAGAAGGATATGAATATTAAGAGGTGAGACTCATCAGACGCCATCTTCAAAGATGGCTCCCATACTGTCTCCCTCATGGATGATATAATTATTTTTATTAGAAATATTAGCCACTTGACCTTTATCTTGTTGCATTGTTTAGATAAGCATCATGAGAATGACTAAAATTATATACTTGTTATTAAAGTATTATCCCTTGGTATTAAATTTTCATTTTTTATTAACACTATAGCCTCTTTAAGCATACCTGGCAGATCAGTCCAATTAGATTTAATTTTACTCCTGTATATTTAAGCATTGGGAAAATGAGAGTTGTGAGTTAAATTATATACAGAGCCACAAATTTAAACTTTTTTCTTAATAGTAGAGAAGATTGATAAGAAGAAATATACTTCTTATATACAGTGAAAGGATACTTTCCCGAAAGGCAAAGTACTATTAATCAAATCATGTCTTTGATAACCTAAAATTAAGATTCTATGGCTTGAGAACAACAGTGCATCCATTTACAATTAAGACTAAAAGCAGAAATTAAATTTTAATGGACCAGTGTTTAAATAGGTTATACAAAAACATGGGATTTGTATCACTTTGTGAAGATGTCATTACTATAATATCTTGTCTTAGATCAGAATTTTGGTATCTGCTTGCTTGGTTGAATTCCCTCCTCTTTTTTCAGATTCCTTCAAATTCCAGCCTGAGGCCTAGAAATACAATACATGCCCACTGATTTCTCATGGCTTTTAACTGCTCTAGGCCTTTTCAATAGTATTTTATTCACTTTGCCTGTTTTCAAGCAAATGGCCAGTAGTAGCAATGCTTTTTTGGAATTCTTTAATTACAACAGCATTTCTGTCTTAATTCTCTATCATAACTTAAGATAGGGGTACAAAAGTTACAAATAAGGTAAATACAAATTACCTCTATGAATGAAAAGCAAATATATAGCAAAACATTAAAAATGATCAATATATCAGTTAAACAA